CACATTCTTCATTTTGAAAAGTTTTGTATTTAAAGGGTAGGGGTACAGAAGAGAAAACAAGGGATTAGAATTCTTGAGAAGTGTATCACAGTGCATACATATTGTGCAATATTGGTCAACAAATAGGTCAAGCTCATGTAACAGTTGTGCTCCTTAGGAATCTATTTGTATTGTTTGCAAGTTAACATTTTGCATTGTCTCGTTGATAATTGATCCTCTTGGTACTGAGGTGGGAGGGGTGGGGGGGGGGTGTTATTTTTAACCTTAATGGTGTGTTGTCTGTAGTGTGGTCCTAGTGATTTCTTGCGTTAGAGCTTGTATGGCTAGATTAGGGGGTAGCGTCTAGTAGTGTTGGGGACCTGTATTGGATAAATGGGGAAGGATAGATATCATGTGTCCTCTACTTTCGTTTTTGATTTGCCAATATTTCGTTTCTTAGTGTGTTTGGTTTATTTAATGAGGGCGGCTTGTGTCATCTCGCTAGTTCACACTCATTTCTATGCTCCTACTAGTCTTTCGTGTACGTTTTGGTCATGTAGTTAGGGTGGGGGTGTGGATAGGGGGGAGGGTTTGGGTGATCTACCATCTGCTTTGGTTATCCTAAGTTATTTGTTTGGTGTTGTCCTGCGGCTGAATGAGTCGATTGTTGTGGGTTTGTGACTGTTGTGTGGTTTCTTTTTGGTCTCTGTGGGGGTATTCCTCACTGCGGTCTGTGAGGTTAGTGAAGGTTGTGGTTTGTCTTTTGTTTATCTAAGGAGGGAGGTGTGGGTTGAGGTTAGGGAGGGGGTAGGTGAGTATCCGGTTTACAGTCTCCTCTTTAGGGTTGTCCTCTGGAGATCTGGTCTCTGTGTCGAGTCTAATAATCTTGGTGTGTTTTAGTTATGATTCAGTTGTGTGGTTTTGATCAGTTAGCATTTTCCCCTGCGGATGGGGGTATATTTTGCTGGTGTTTGTCGGTCGTGGGTTGTGTCTTGTTTGTTGGGTGTGGTTTGTTTGGATTTCATGGTGCTGATAGGAAAGTGTCAGGTGTGGGGGGTGTGGGGGGTGTGGGTCGGTTGGTTGGGTGTTTGTTTAACGAGTCTCACCGGGTGTGTATTGAGTGGTGGATTAGCCAGGGATCCCATATTTTGTTGTGGTGGTGGGTCGTGTCGTGGATAAGGGCCGAGAGTTTGTCCATTTCCATGGCATCCTTTGTTTTGTGTATCACGGTCTCTATTGTGGGGGTATTTTGGTTGCCCCATTGTTCCGCAATTGTGCGTCTAGTGGCTAGTGCAATTTTTGCAAATAATTTGTTCTGAGACCTGATCAGTGGGGCATGGGGTTTCGAGAGTAACCAGATCCATGGGTCCATGGGTATGTCTGTGTGGAGGATTTGGGATGCGAGTTCAGCCACGTTTGTCCAAAGGTGAGATATGTAGGGGCACTCCCACCATTGGTGGATGTAAGTACCTTGGGCTCCGCAGCCCTTCCAGCATGTATCAGTGTTGCAGCGTCTGATCTGTTTTACTCATAGAGGTGTTAGGTACCATCTGTGGAGCGTTTTGTAAGTTTGCTCTTTATGGTTCACACAGATTGTGATGGACGCTGTTGCTTCCTATATTTTAGCCCAATCCGAGAGGTCGTTCGGGGGGCCAATGTCCCTTTCCCATATTCTAGTGTAGGGGATGGCTTCTGTTTGGGAGGTGGAGTTCAGTTGGGTGTATATGGAAGAGATTTGGCCTTTGTGTATTGGGTTGTGCATGCAGTCGTGTTCGAATGGGGTCAAGTTGGTAGTCGCTGCGGCTATGTGTCGGGGTCCTTGAAGAGACTGCGGATTTGTATATATCTAAATTGGTCAAAGGTGGTTAGTGGGGATTGTCTGGGTAGGTCTTGAAATTGAAGTAGCTGGTTGGCTCTAAAGAAATGGTAGAAGCAGAAGAGTCCATTGTCCTCGTAGTGTGCGAAGTCTCGGAGGGGCATACCTGGGGGGAATTGCTTGTTGCGTAGAAGTGGTGTGAGTGGCGATGGTATGTTGATGAGAGGGGTTTTGCGAGTGGCTCTGTCCCACACTAGGAAGGATGTGTGTAGGGTCGGGGTCGTTTGTGGGGTGTCCGGTCTTAATAGTTTCGGGAGCCAGAAGAGTAGTGAGGTATGGTCACTGTCCAGTAGGTCATGTTCCAAGTCTACCCATAGTTTCATGCCTGGTGGGGCATGTAAGTGTTGTATCTGTGTTAGTTGGGTGGCTTGATAATAGTTATAGAAGTTTGGAAGACCGAGACCTCTGGATTTGGTGGTCTGATACATTGTGGATCTTTCGATTCTGGGTGTTTTGTTGGACCATACGAAATTGTCAATTTTGGTTTGAAGTAATTTAAAGTCTTTTCGGGATATCGGGATGCTAAGTGTTTGGAAAAGGTATAGGAATCTTGGGAGCAGGTTCATTTTTACTGAGGCTATCTGTCCTAACCATGATATTGGCATAGTGTCCCAACGTTGAAGGTCTGTCTGTGCTTGTTGGATTAGGGGTGTGTAGTTTGCTGTGTATAAAGTAGAGAGGTGTCTGGGGAGGAGAATGCCGAGGTATCGGATATTATCTTCCCTATAGGTGAATGGGTGTGTGGTTTTGAGCTGTCTCAGAGTTGTTTCTTTGATTTCCAATGGTAATGCTTCGGTTTTGTCTAGGTTTAGTTTATACCCCGATAGGGTTGCGTATTAGTCTAACAGCGCTATTAGGGGTGGAAGAGATTGTGTGGGTTTTGTGATCGTCAATAGTATGTCATCAGCATAGGCTGCTATTTTATATTCGTCTCTGTTTATTTTGAGTCCATAGATCGATGGGGAGTTTCGTATTTTCTGCAGGAGGGGTTCTAAGGAGAGGGCGAATAGGAGCGGTGACATTGGGCATCCTTGTCTCATTCCGTTGTGGATTGTGATTGTTGTTGGTGTCACGTTGGGTATTAGGAGTGTAGCCGTCGGTCGGTGGTACAAGGAGGTCAGGGCTGTGATAAAGGGTTCTGGGAATCCGAACCTCTGTAAAATGGTGAATAGGTAGGGCCAGAGAAGGCGATAGAACATGGAGAGGAGAAGGGTCGGGATTTGTCTACGTTGGGCCACCCACATGAGGTCTAGCATACGTCTGGTGTTGTCGCTCGCCTGTCTGGAGGGGATGAAACCCACTTGGTCAGGGTGAATCAATTTAGGAAGGAAGGTTTGTACGCGGTTCGCCAGAAGTTTAGTAAATATTTTGGTATCTACATTGAGGAGGGATATGGGCCTGTAGTGTACTGGGTCGAGGTGTGTCTTGTTTGGCTTTGGGAGGAGGCATATCTTCGAACTCAGCATGTCGTTTGGTAGGGTGTCTCCTTGTAACAGTGAATTGAATAGTGTGGCTAGGTGGGGGATGAGGATGTCCGAGAACGTCTTGTAGTAGAGGCCCGTGAAGCCATCTGGTCCCGGGCTCTTGTGTGGTTTGATTGTTTTTAGTATGTACGCTATTTCCTCCGTCATGACGAGGGCCGCTATTTGTGTCTTTGCTTCGTCGGGCAGTGTAGGGAGGGGGATATCTTTCAGGTACGACTCTATGTCTCTTTGATTGGTTATCTGTTGCTGACGTTGGCGGGCTTCTGGTTTATGGTCGTATAGTTTTGTAAAGTACTTGGCGAAGATATATGCTATGTCGTCTGGGGTGTCATATGTCGTGCCTTTGGGTGAGTTTATTTTGTCTATCCGTTTTGTTTGTGTTTTCTGACGAAGTGTGCGCGCAAGGAGGGAGTCTGCTTTGTTGGATTTGTCATAGAAGAGTTGCTTGGTCCATAGGAGCGCTTTTTGGGAGTCCTTGGACATGTATTTTTTGATGGCTTGTTGATGGGATTTGATCTGTTGGAGAATGTCTGGGGTTGGGTCTGTTTTATGTTGGTCTGTGAGGGTCCGTAGCTGGAGTAGGTGGTGTTTAAGTACCGCCATTTTCTGTTTTTTTTGTCTGGTAGCCTGTTCTATTAGTTTCCCTCTGATCACCGTTTTGTGTGCAGCCCATAGCATCTAGTCAAAAAAACTGTACACAAAGTGGGAGAAAGAGAATGTGAACAGCTCAAATACACCTAATATGTGGTATCCCCTACACCACCATAAATACATTAAAATACATACAAAACAATAGGCGGAGCTGCTTTAAACCTTGAATGATCTGTAAAACAAAATTGCATATACAAAATAGCGTAGTATGTCTATACAATTTTATAAAATAAGGAGAAAAAGTAGTAATTCCACTCACAAGACTAGAGTCGTACCGTCATATGACTCTAATTGAATGCTTCCTTGGACCATTCTGGGGTTGTCCAGACCCTTTTGTAGCTGGATTCTTTGCGTTCCCCCTTTGTACTTTAGTGGATATCCCCAAAAAAGCTGTAGAGTTTCCAAATGGTCCTTTTAGCAAATGATTTTATTAGTGTAAAAATATGTCATATACCTGAGGAAGCTGGTAGAAGTAAAATTAACAAAAGACTATTAAAAATGAAAGTCCTTTTAAAAATGTCCTTGGTTAAAAAGTCCAAAACGCATTTCGCCTATTACTCAGGCTTCCTCAGTTGGATGGAGTTCTCAAATTCTGTTTCTCTTTTTAAAACTTCCCGCCGGGCCCCCTCCTCCAATCCGGCGGCCACTTCCGGTTTCCTATGCGTTGGAACACAATGTGCGTTCCAAGTGCCGGCGTTCACTTCCAGGTTGCGCCGGGATGGAACGCACGTGCGTTCCAACCGCGTCAGGTGCCTGCCGGCATTGCTGTCAACTTCCGGATTTCTTCAAATGGAACGCACGTGCATTCCAAATATGCATGTCGGCAGGTGATACATTTCCAATACTGTCCTCAAATGGAACGCACGTGCGTTCCAAATGTTCCGTTCAGGATGCCACT